CATTGCTATAAGTAACACTTACAAAACAGACATATATTTAAATCTCATGGAGTATAGGTTTTAAGATCACAGTAATAAACATAAGAATCCTAAGAAAGTTTATATGGCTGATCAAGTAGCTGTGCAAGATTTGCTTAAGTAGCATAAGCACTGACAATAATTACCAATTATTATTTAATACATTAAGCAAGCCAAATGCTTCACTTATCGTGCTACATCATGTCCATATAAGAGGCAAAGTTTGGAAAGATCAATTACCTTAATAGCTTGCCCTCTCAGAAAACTTTCTATTTACTAAAAATGTATTTTTAAAGATTACATGTGCTTCAGGGTTAAATTGTGGCTCTTTAGTCTTCTTTGATTTTATTTCTGCATACATATTTCTGCATAAAAGAAACCTGCAAACTCTGTTCCTCCATGCCATGGGTGTCAAACTCAGTGTCACGTTGCCTTCACATAACGTTTTATTGTTTTTCCCTTCACTGGGGTGGATGTGGCCTGCATGTGACACATCCGGCCCGTGGGCCACCAGTTTGAGACCCCTGCTCCATGCAACAATGATGTCACCTAGCCTGTAAATGAAATGTCTGCAGGAAGAAAAGGAAACTCAAGAAGATACCAAGAAGCCAACAATTGTTTGAACTACATAATTTTATTTGGGTGAAGTGTCACTATACAAGAAAAGATACAAGTGCATATAGTTTTTCTTGATGGTATTTTACAATGGAATTTTACATTTTGATCAATTGTTGCAGGTAGCATGCAGTATGAATTCAAGGAACTCTTATAAAATGCTTTCTTTTTAGTTTATATATGAAAAATAGAACGCATAACATCTAGCGCTTTAAATAAGCTGCATTTTAGAAAAGAAAAACATCATTAAAATGTTTGATTAATTCCACTAATTCATTTTCTTGTTAAAGTAAAGCTATTACAGAGTTTCGTCATCCCCCCCACCCTTTTTAGTAAAAACATTGGCATGTTACTAATATTTAAAAAAGTACTAGAATGCAAAAAAGGGACAGTATGCCAGAGAAATGAGTTTAAATTTGAAAAATTATATACAACCTTTTAACTTAAAATTACATTATTAAACTAGACATAGGTCTAACTTTTTAAAAAGTTACCAAAGTATGAATAAAATCACTGTATCCTTACAGTACATTATTGAAATTGAAGTAAAATGGTTTCTAGCTGAGCCTTATAGATGTCTACATTTTTAATATAATTTCATGCAAGGCTTTTTTTAGTTACCATCTTCTTTTTTCTGCTAATAACTTTTACACTTTTAAATTATATTGTACTCAAGTGTTCTTTTCATTTTATCCATGATAATGTGCTATAATCTATCCTGTGAATTGAAATATCTTGATGAACTGTGAAGAATACATCTCTATAAAAAATAAATGAAGTATTTTTCCAGATAACGTTTGTTTGTGCAATGATTTTTCTTTAGAGAAATGAAATAGTGTTAGGAACACAAATGAAATAGTGTTTGGAACACTAACACTAATGATAGAAAATCAATGAGAATGTCAGTTTCCAAATTTTTTCATGAAGAAATGCTACTCATTTTACAGTTTTGGGGATTGGGGGTGAAGCCATTTCAAGAATCAAGAATTTGGAAAGGACCTCAAAAGTCACTTAGTCCAATTCCAGAATATCCAGTGCTGTGTTGTTTAACAAGTACTGTAATCATACTAATGTCAACTTATAAAACATTTTGTATACACATTTTATAGTTGACAACAGAAAGAAGGGGGGGAGTTTTAAAGAGCAGGCGGCAGTGTGGAATCGAAAGTACATTCCATTCAAACACTGATTAGATGACTGAAGCTTCTGCCGTGCAAAAATCTAATTGGAGAACATGATTAATGACTCTTGGCTATGGACGTTTTTCATTGGATGATATACCCAGAGGGGTGGTGGAAAAAGCAGGATCAAGGGTGATAGTGAATTACATATCTCAAGTTGGCTATGGCCAGGTAAATGCTGAACATAGAATGTTACCTTCAAATAAATATTTTTTAGTTTTGGGAGTGTGGCTCAAGGCTCATGATTTAACTGGAGTAACTGCCGGAATGCTGACAACTACTTTGGCTTTAAGAACTCTCTTATCAGTTTATACTATCAAGAAGTTACTCCTAATGTTAATTTTGAATTATTTTTCTTAGAAGTACAATCCATTGCTTCAAATCTTAAAACTCTGGAGCAGTATAAAACAAAATAATGTATTTTCGCATATCTCATAATATCCAATCGGTTTTCTTGTGTGGAATAAATGTTTGAATCTTTTCTCATGAGAGTTGATCCCTAAGCCTCTTACCCTCCTTCACCTAAAATGCAATAGAACATATGCTATTGTTATATCACTTCCATTTCAAACAGCTAGTGATCTATGATGATGAAAACTTTTAACTGGGTATATTTTTGATTGTTTTTAATTTATTTTGATTGCTTTTCAATTTAAGTTTTATGTATATAAAGACAGAAGCCTGTGGAAAATAATTATCATTTCCATTACACAGTATTTAACACTTTCATATTGGTTGATTTTATCAGCCAGGACATAAGGTTTGTAAATTATCTGTCACAGGAAATAACAGCAGAAACATTTGCCTCTTTATTTGATAAAAAATTGTCAACGTAGGACCAAAGTTACTATGTCTGCAAGTACACCTAAGGTTCTTCTAAAATAACAAATATTTTGTAACCATCACTAAGATATACCACACATCTAGAACTGCCCAGAGCAGATATTATCTTCAACTTACCACTTATTTGTGAGGTGGACTTCAATTAACTCATCATATAATCTATTTGTTCAGGAATTACTAATGCTCTTAGATGAGAAAGAGAATTCATATGAAAAAATGAGCTGTTGTTTTAACTCATGGCCACAAATGGGAAGAAAGGATATAAAGTGGGTTAGAAATAGGAAGCCCCTCTTCCAAATCTGTCTAAATAATGGTAACAATGATCCTGTTATCATGGATTACTAATATTTCATTCTCATATAGAAAAAAAATGAAGGCAGACATGGAGTTGAAGTCTGAGAGGATAAAAATATTACAACCACATGACAGATCCAGACATTCTGTCATATCTTGCTAGAACAAAAAGTTGTGTCAATTGATGCAGTGAGAGGATAGCTAGATCTTTCAAAGTCTGCAAACAGTCTGAATGGCAAAATATCTGCATTCAAAATTCCTAGGTTGAAAAAGACTGATCAAAGTGGGAACAAAAATACCTCCTTTTACTACAGATATGACAAGCAACTAGAAAAGAATGGAGGTGGGAAAGGAGGGGACAAAACAGCAAGACTACTGGAGTGGTTTGCAATGTTATCAGTAAACAGTAGGCTATCTAAAACTTAGTTCAGCGTGTGACACTTGATAAAGAGTTGTTAGCCAGTGTATTCCATTTCCCAACTATGAGTATTATTTCATCATTATAAAGATATGTACGCACAAACACACACAAATCTTTGTTGATTTATTTTATAACATTAAGACACACACAGTACAGTAATTGTTGTTTTCCCTATCCTCAATATCTTGTCTTAAGTTGTCTGGAAACATTTATAGAACTGAAACATTATGTGTTGTAACAGGTTTGTGAGACTCTTTGAAGATGAATCACCTGTGTTCATTCAACTGGAACACTGATTTTGACACATTACATAGAGGCACTGAGCATATCTGATACATAATTTTTCTAAAAATAACAGATCATTTTTAGTTTGGGAGTCTCAAGGAAATGAATTAGCAAAATAATTGTAGCTTCCTAGTCTGCCACATAGACTCAATATCCCTGCCCATGTTGTTTTATTCTAACTAGCTAACTGCAACTGGATGGAATCAGAAAATTGTGAATACATTTTTACAAGATGGTGTGATCTTAAATTAACAATAGCAATAATATAGTAGATAATGTAAACTGATTCTAAACTCTGGCAAGAAACCCTGAAACCTTTGGATGGATGGTTCCAGGATATAGATCCTAGGGAGCTTAATTGTTCTAAATTAAGTTGTACCCTTTAGAAATAATAACATATATTAACATCCTGCAGAGATGACCATGTCGTTTAATAAACTATTGAATACCATAGCCTCAGCAGTGATATTGTGTGGAAAGTACTGTACAAACAATGCAAGATCCAATCAGAATAAAATGTCCTGCCTGAGCAGGAGGTTGGAATAGAAGGCATCCAAGGTCCCTTCCAACTCTGTTAATTTTAAATGGCACATTGACAAATTACGATTATAATCTGGTAAATTATTATACAGTAATCTTTCTGGTCACAGAAAACTGCATCCGCAAAACTATGCAACCAGTGCAGCTTAGCAATGCTGAATTTCTACTGTTTATAAGGTCACGGATGTGTTGGTGGGTTTTTGTTTGGTGTCTTGCATTTTTTATGGATTGTCAAAGCAATTTTAGACACAAGCATGACTGGACTTACTTCCGGGTGAGAATAGAATTGCAGACGAAATCCCTCCCTCTCCCTATTCAATCCTCGATGAAAAGTCGGGACACTCTGCCTTAGGACAAAGATTTAATTCGAGGGGAACTCGGAACAAAACGAGGCCAAAGGCACCGCAACCCTTTCCTTCTGAAATCGAGAGTAAACTTCTAAAAATTCAACCTGGATTTACCTGCCTGTATTCTACAACGCCTAGTCTAATCACCCCTCCCTGCAGAGCTTCTCTCGAACACGCTTTGAGAAACGGACGCGGTTTCTGTCTAACTTCGGTGGGGTTTTCGCGGACGGAATTTTACAAAAGCGTTGGTTGAAAGCAAAAATAGGCTAGCCATCCCACATACTGGCCTCAACTACGCCTGGCCATATTTCACATCGGCTAGAGAGGATGAATGCGGTCGAGCTCCGAGCCCAAGGCCAACAGAACTACCCCACCAAGATCGTCCTCACTGGTTCCCAGCATGCAAGAGATCTTCCTAGAGCGGCGGAGGCTTCCGCCCAACTCCGGAGGCTTTCCTTCCCTGGAGCAACAGCGGCAAAATGGCGGCCAAGGCGCCAAATACAAATTTTTGAATGCTCGGTGAGGGCTAACGCTGTCTCTGGCCGACGTTCCGGATGGTGAGGCCATGGACGCCTCGGCGTGCATGAAGTCTCTGCTCTTGGCGGCTTCTCAGTACCGAGCTGCTCGCACCCAGCCCAACGCAGCGCTGCTCCAGCGGAGTTTAGAGGTGAGAGAGAGTCTCGATAGACCACCCGTTTTAAAGCTTTCTTTATTTTTCTTTTCTTCCCACTTTCGGATATTTTGTAGTAGAAATAGGTAGAGAATTAAGGCGCGTTCAAATAACTGGCCTGCTGCTGCCTCAGCGATAACGAAACTTTTCCGTGACAATTCCCCCTAGTATTGCTTCGTTTTTGCGAACAGTTCAAAGATATGCAGAAGATCCATATATAAACCAAGTGGATAAGGGCTAATATGCTATGTCCTGATCGCTCCTAGAGCAAAGACCTCAAGTAATCGTTGAAGAACTGAATGTAGGACGCAGTCCTCAACTGATCCTCGGCCCTTTATGTAGGTAGCCCCTGCCATTATTTTGTTTTGGCAGGAGCCTCTACCGGAACAGGCAAAGAAGCCACTCCCCAAACCGTTTAAGGACGTCGCCCTGGTCTACGGCTGTTGGCCTGTCAGGGCTACTGTGATTCATGCACCTGCACTGATATTTATCTTTTGGTGGTAGGAAAGTCGGGGTGGTGGTGGTAGTGGTTCCCCTTGTGCCAGAAAGCCATTGCTCCCGCTTTTCTTTTCTTTTCTTTTTTAAAATTTTTTTGTCAAGCAATTATTAGATATAACAGGTATAGGTGAAACTCGAAAAATTAGAACATTGTGCAAAAGTTCATTTATTTCAGTAATGCAACTTAAAAGGTGAAACTAATATATGAGATAGACTCATTACATGCAAAGCAAGATAGTTCAAGCAGTGATTTGTCATAATTGAGATGATTATGGCTTACAGCTCATGAAAACCCCAAATCCACAATCTCAGAAAATTAGAATATTGTGAAAAGGTTCAATATTCTAGACTCAGTGTCCCACTCTAATCAGCTCATTAAGCCATGACACCTGCAAAGGGTTCCTGAGCCTTTAAATGGTCTCTCAGTCTGGTTCAGTAGGAATCACAATCATGGGAAAGACTGCTGAGATGACAGTTGTGCAGAAAACCATCATTGACACCCTCCATAAGGAGGGAAAGCCTCAAAAGGTAATTGCAAAAGAAGTTGGATGTTCCCAAAGTGCTGTATCAAAGCACATTAATAGAAAGCTATGTGGAAGGGAAAAGTGTGGAAGAAAAAGATGTACAAGCAGCAGGGATGACTGCAGCCTGGAGAGGATTGTCAGGAAAAGGCCATTCAAAAGTGTTGGGCACTTTCACAAGGAGTGGACTGAGACTGGAGTCAGTGCATCAAGAGCCACCACACACAGACAGATCCTGGACATGGGCTTCAAATGTCATATTCCTCTTGTCAAGCTGCTCCTGAACAACAAACAATGTCAGAAGTGTCTTACCTGGGCTAAAGAAAAACAGAACTGGTCTGTTGCTCAGTGGTCCAAAGTTCTCTTTTCTAATGAGAGCAACTTTTGCATCTCATTTGGAAACCAAGGACCCAGAGTCTGGAGGAAGAATGGAAAGGCGCACACTGCGAGATGCTTGAAGTCCAGTGTGGAGTTTCCACAGTCTGTGTTGATTTGGGGAGCCATGTCATCTGCTGGTGTTGGTCCACTTTGCTTCATCAAATCTAGAGTCAACGTAACTGTCTACCAGGAGATTTTGGAGCACTTCATGCTTCCTTCCACATACGAGCTTTATGGGGATGCTGATTTCATATCCAGCAGGACTTGGCACCTGCCCACACTGCCAAAAGCACCAAAACCTGGTTCAATGACCGTGGGATTACTGTGCTTGATTGGCCAGCAAATTCGCCTGACTGAACCCCCTAGAGAATCTATGGGGCATTGCCAAGAGAAAGATGAGAGACATGAGACCGAACAATGCAGAAGAGCTGAAGGCCGCTATTGAAGCATCCTGGTCTTCCATAACATCTCAGCAGTGCCACAGGCTGATAGCTTCCATGCCACACCGCATTGAGGAAGTAATTGTTGCAAAAGTAATTGTTGCCCCAAACCAAGGGGTACATATGAGTACCTGAGTACATATGCATGCTTATACATTTCAGAGGTCTGATATTGTTCTATGTACAATCCTTGTTTTATTGATTGCATGTAATATTCTAATTTTCTGAGATTGTGGATTTGGGGTTTTCATGAGCTGCAAGCCATAATCATCACAATTATGACAAATCATGGCTTGAACTATCTTGCTTTGCATGTAATGAGTCTATCTCATATATTAGTTTCACCTTTTAAGTTGCACTACTGAAATAAATGAACTTTTGCACGGTATTCTAATTTTTTGAGTTTCACTATAAGTATAAACATGGTTATGAATACATGAAATGGATACGAATAAGAAAAAAAAAGAAAAAGAAACAACAGGACAGGGATGGTAGGCACATTGATGCGCTTATGCATGCCCCCTGGAGACCTCTTATGAAAGGGGTGAGGTCAATAGTAGACAGTCTAAGGTTAAACTTTTTGGGGTTTGGGGAAGAAACCACAAAGTCGGGTAGAGTATTCCAGACATTGACCACTCTGTTGCTGAAATCGTATTTCCTGCAATCAAATTTGGTGCGGTTTACCTTGAGTTTGTATCTATTGTGTGCTCTTGAATTGTTATGGTTGAAGCTGAAGTATTCACTGGCAGGACAATGTATGATTTAATATACTATACTGAGATCGGACCAAAGGTGGCATAGTTCTAGGTTTTTTAGGTCTAAAATTTCAAGTCTGGTGGCATAAGGTATTCTGCTACAAGTAGAGGAGTGGAAAACTCTTCTTGTGAAATATTTCTGGATTTTCTCAACTGTATTAATATCAGATATGTAATGCGGGTTCCAGACTGATGAGTTGTATTCAAATATTGGTCTAGCAAATGTTTTGTATGCTCTAGTTAGTAGAGTGATATTACCAGAGAAAAAGCTATGCAGGATTAGGTTAACAACTCTTAATGCCTTTTTGGCTATGTAGTTACAGTGGGCTCTAGCACTCAGATCATTTGAGATGAGTACTCCAAGGTTCTTGACAAAGTTTGGGTCATCAACAAGATCTTGACTATTCAGCTTGTATTTTATTTTCTGATTTTTTTGCCAATATGTAAGACAGAGCATTTATTTGTTGAGATTTGAAGTTGCCATTTGTTTGACCATTCTGACACATAGTCGAGGTCTTTTTGAAGAGTAGCAGTATTGTTGGTGGTGTTGAATAGTTTTACATCATCAGCAAAAAGAATGCAATTGCTCTTAATATGATCACAGAGGTCATTTATGTAGAGTATGAAAAGAGTTGGTCCTAGAACGCTGCCTTGGGGGACACCACTGTTGACAAGTACAGGATTTGATAGGATGCTCCCAATTTTGACCATTTGTTGTCTGTTTGACAGGAATGCTTCTATCCAGTTATGCAGGTGTCCAGAGATACCATAAGATTTTAATTTTAGGAGTAGTTTGTCGTGTGCCACTAAATCAAAGGCTTTACAGAAGTCTATGTAAATTGCATCAATTGCTTTGCCCTGATCGAGTTGTGTAGTCCATATGTTTTTGCAGTGTAAGTGTTGCAGATTGTAGGATTGTTTTTTTCTGAACCAAATTGTTTGTTAGAGAGTAGGTTGTTTGTCTCTAAGTGGAGGATAATGGATTGGTTAATAATTGATTCCATGACTTTACAGGTGATGCAGCATAAAGAAATTGGTCTGTAATGTTCAACTAGGCTGGGGTCTCCCTTTTTGAAGTTGGGGATGACCATGGCTAGTGACCATAAGTTTGGCAAGAAGCTGGTCCTGGAAGATTTTTCAAAGATCATGCTTAGAGGTTCTGCTACGGCAGTGGATAGCTTTTTATAAGAAGTAGGCACATATTCCATCTGGTCCAATAGATAGAGATGGTTTTAGATTGCGTAGTGCTTTTTCAACATTGTCTTCTGTAAAATCGATATGTATTAGATCACTGTAGTTGTCTGTAGTTCGACTAGGAAATATTGAGCATGATCCATTACTGTTTACAAATCTGAGCCAAAGAATGTGTTAAAGAGATTGGCTTTAATGGTGTCATCGTTGCAGTCTTTACCATTAGGTCCTTTCAGGGGTGGGATAGACCTTGAGTCTTTTAGTTTGTTGTTTACAAAATTGTAGAAAGCATGGGTGGAATTGGTGCGTAGAAGGTTTTCCTCTTGTTTAATGTGATAATTGGTGCATTCAGTCTTTATCTGGTGGCATAAATTTTTGTATTGGCTTTTAAAGTTGGCAACGTGACCAGATTTGTTTTTCTGCCAAAGGGATTTCTTTTTGGATTGGAGCTTCCTTATTGTTATGGGTAATTTGTTTTTCCTGGTTTTGGGAGTTGTTATTGGTACATATAGTTTGATGACTCTTTTGACTTCAAGTAAAAATATGTTGTAATGGTCTTCAACAGTATTGCATCCAGTGAGTAGAATTTGCCATTCAAGAGATGAGAGATCATTGTCTATAAGATCATAGTTGCCTTTTTTGAAGTTATAATTGGGGATCCTGTCATTATGGTGATTTATGTTAAGGATATATGTTGAGACAAAAGTCAGTCATGCTGTGGTCACCGTTGAAAAGGGTTCATTAATTTATAGTCTGTAAATTGAATTCAAACTGTTGCAGAAGATGAGATCAAGGCAGTTGTTAAGTCTAGTGTTGTTGGTTACTAGTTCTAGTTCCAGATTTGTTACTGCATTGTAGAAGGTTGCATGTATGGGTTCGGTTGCACATTCATTTAGGGTCTAGTTAATATGAGGTAGATTTAAGTCACCAAGAAAGATAAAAGCGTGTGGGCAGGATGTTGCCCATGTTAGTCGTGAATTTAACTTGTTTACATGTTCGATGTTATAATCAGGGGCTCTGTAACATAGTAAGAATCGAAATGTGATATTTAAGGACAGTTCACAGACAATGGTCTCTGGAAGAGCAAGCTCCTAGGTAATTTGGATGTTTTTAGATGTAAGGACTTTTTATAGAAGATAGCAACACCACCTCCTCTATGGATTTCATGATCTGATCGGTAAACATTATCATCTCTTACTGTGGTAATGGAATCAGGGAGAGATGCATTGAGCCATGTTTCACAGACAAATATGATGTCGAATTTAGCCATATTTAGTAAGAGGAGAAATTCAGGTATTTTATTTACAAGGCTTCTTGCATTGAGTAGCTTGCATTTAAGGCCAGTTGTAGTTGGAATTGAATCCAGCGTTTTTTGGGCTCCGGTTTACTCATGGTTTCTGGCACAGGCGGCAGCTTTAAAGGTGATTTCTTGTGCAGGTGGTGGCTTTATAGGGTGATAGTGCTCCAGGAGCGAGAGCCTCACCTTCCTAGTTGGGCACAGCCATCTTCTTGAATAGAATTGCCAACCCATGGAGAGAAAGTGGGAAAGCGGAGCTAGGACTAGTATTCTGCCACTAACAAACAACCCTTCCTCCCTCCCTCCACAGTGGCTGATAAGTTTCTTTTCCCTGCTGCAGGGAAATGGAATAGAAGTGGCTCTTTAGCCTCTGTATCTCCACTATAACGTTATGGGACCTTCTCTGCAGGAATGCTATCTACACAGCCACCAAGTACAGGCTTTGTCAAGTCCTTTACAGCAGCAAAATTCAGACCAGTAGCAGACCAACCCAACAGGAGTGAAAATAGGAGATAGGAATATTAGGTATGTTTTCCACCTTGAGTGACCAGTATAAAAACAAATACAAAGGCAAGGTAAAAATCTAATAATTAATAATTGGCTTGAAAATGAAGGTGAGTTATAGAATCTCTGAAACTAGATATTTAGTTCTTGCAGTACTTATTATGGAGTACAAGAAACAGAGTTTTTATTATTTGTTTAATATTCTTTCTCGGGATTCCAAGCTGAAGGATTGATGTCTCACCTATGAGATAAGACTGATAAGTCCTTGGTTCATTTTTAGCCATGCCTTGTAAACCTTTCTTGAGTGAAAATTCCCTTAGAATTGCTCCCTATTCTGCCTGAAAGAGCAAAAGTGGATGGGAATAAATCATATCAAAACACATATGTATTTAAATAGATGTCTCTTGATAGATGTTTTGTTGGGGTATAAGTCATACCACAAGTAGGTGAGGAGAAACATACCAACCACTAACTGGTTGTCGTAGTGCTCGGAGGTGACTGCAATCTGCACCTGTGGCAGAGATGAGGTATGGAGAGTGTTACTTTCTTCCCTCCCTCTAATAAGAAATAACCCTGCTGAAACTGGTCTGTACTTCTGTGGGGAAGGTGACAAGACCCACTTCCCCTCCTCTTTGCTTATGCTTCCTACTCATGGCAAAAGAAATAAGAACAGACCAAAAACAGTCTTCTCTTTTCTGTTCTGCTTCTAATACTATGAGTTGTGTGAGAAAGAGGGGAAAAACAAGAAAAAGAGAATAGTGTCTTGTACCACTTTTTTTGATTCAACTATGTTACTAGCATCAAGGGAGATGTTTTCCCAGTAGCTTTCTTCTATCCTAGGTTTCCAATGCTTCACTGTATATGCAAAATATGAATCTAAAGTGTGATCAGTCTTTGAGTTGAGTGCATTATTATGCCGATGTCCAAGCTGCATATTTGTACTTTAATGCTCTGTGCAAAAGAGCTACAAGGTCACAGTTATATATAACTTGATTTGTTAATAAACTTACATTAGTCCAGTGGGATACAGGTATGTTTAGTACAGAGCTATTTTGCAAGTTCTGTCTTCTATAGTTGTTTGATAGTTGAAATTTTCTTAAAATATATAACGATGAGTATAATATTGTCTTATTTATGTATAGACTACCCATCTTATCTCATGGTAATTGGGCAGCATTTAAGGTAATTAGGCACCTGTTCAAGGTGACAAGGACAACAACAAAAATCTGTGATCTAGGGATTGATTTATCTCTGCATATCATGTTTCGCATCCAATAAATCTCTTGTAGTTTTAAAGCACACATTGCTTCAATGATGTTGCTACATAAGAAAAAATATCAGCAAGTTAATATACTAGTAATTGGCAAATTAAACAAAAAGAAGTGTTTCAAGTTGACTTGTGGTGACTTCATAGATATACCCTTACGATTTTTGTGAGCAATTATATAGGTTTGTTATATGCTGTATATACACATGGCTCACACACACACCAGGTTCTGTCACTTGAATAATTTCTATTGGTTTTATTAGGAAAAGGTGAGACTTTATGTTAAGGTCATTATATATAGTTATATCTTCCATTAGCTTAAAGGTTTTAATTGTCTTTTTTTTAGCAATTGTCTTATTTTTTTCAGGTTATCTCAGGATTGAAATTGACAAAATTTTTTGCATCAAACCATATTTTACCAAGTGAATGCCTCAATTGCTTAGTAGAACTTATTGAGGACCCAAATCTAAGCCCTCCATTAACATTGAATGTAGTAGGCTTGCTTTCTCAGTTAGGTAAGTTTTAAATGTATTTGAGTTGCATATACAAGTTATTTTATAGCTGGGAATACATGTGATATCTTATAGATGACTCTGATTTCTTTCTTTTTTTAAATAGCCTGTGTGTCCTATTAAACTTTTAATTAATGAGGAGTTCACTTGTTATTAGAATCAAACTTCCTTGAATGAGAATTTAAAAAAATAATTCATTGCAAGTGTTTGGAGCAGAACCGTTTAATTCTTGTAAAAATAATAACAAAGTAAAATAGTGATAACTAGCATGAAATGTACTATTTGTAACATATTCTGTACAACCTCATTTATTTCTTTGTGGAATATGTAAACAAGAAGTGATTATGACACTTTCACCAGAAATGTATTATCTACAAAATATAAAATCTGAGATTTTATCTGAGAAACAGTTGAAATGTTTTCAGATTGTTAAATTTAGTTAGCTTATATTTTGAATATATGTATACTGGTAGTCTCTGACATACAGCCACAATTGGGACTGAAAGTTCTTTCACTAAGTGAAGCCATTAAGTGAGTTGTGCCTGATTTTCTTAACTTTTCAGTTGTTAAGCAAATCCAGTTTCCCCCATTGACTTTGCTTGTTGCAAGCACCCTGGGGGTGTGCAATCATACGACTCAAGGATTCTGCAAGCTCCATAAATATATGCCAGTTACTAAGTGCCTGAATTTTGATCATATAATCATGGAGATACTGTGTCAGTTGTAAATCTGAGTACTGATTGTAAGATTCCTTTTTTACACTATTGTAATTTTAAATGGTCATGTGTCAAGGACTACCTATATTTATATATAGAATGGTTAGGGTTAAGATGGAACTGGTTATGGAAAAGTTAAAAAAATGATTTTTTACAAGATTTTCCTTTTTTTTTCAGTTTCTCTGAATATATTTCTTACAATATTAGTGATACCTTTATTGTATATATGTTACTTATAGTTCTAGATAATGAAACCAGAGAAGCCCTTCAGAATGCTTACAATTTGTGTGGTGCCCTTGCAAGTGTAATTCTTCGAAGTTCTACAAATCCTATTGACCCAGTAATATTGCAAGTAAGAGAATGTAATGTTTTATATGTAATAAATTATTATTATAACATTTTTATTGTTGTTATTATTAATTATTTTGTTTTGTGTAAATGCCACAAAAGAAAGTATTGGCAGCCAATGGTCTCTTATGTAAGCTGTTGCCAAATCCTGTCTGCTTAGCATTCAGACTATGTTGAAATATAAATATTAGAAAGATCAGAATAATGTATATTAATATTTGCACACTTTCTATCAGAAATATAATTTTTAATTATATTATAGTTTACAAGTACAATTTGATTGCTTCTTAAATTTTTATCTAAAAACTGCTACATCCAATCCAATCAAACCCTTATTATGGCCTTTAGGTCAAAGAGCGCACCAATAAAATGCATTAATCTGTAATTATTATTAATAAAATTTTAAAAAGATATAAATCAAATCAAACACTGTCAATGCACAACAAGTGTACAATGAAATTGAAACAAATGAAATGATATAAAATACATTATTATAGAACTGTAGTACATTTAGCAGGGAGAATCACAAAAAATGTGCTAAACTTTAGCTATAGGTAAGACAGTGCAACAAATAATGATACAAATTTAGGCAACCTGGTAAAATAAGAGTTCTGGTCAGATAGAAGCAATGACAGATGAACATTGTTCTGGCTACCAGACTATTTAAAAAATGGGATAAATATATATCTTTCAAGATTACCAGTACAGCAAAGGAGCAAATGGCTTAAGCTTTTCATAGAGTCATAGTCACTCAGGCATAATGTTGCTGAAAAGGAATGTTTTATATGCAGAATTGCCCCCAACCTGGTCAAGATGAAAGCCAGATGAAATTTCAGAATTAGTACTTGAAGAGAGATAAGATGATGGCACATGCCTATTTGAGAAGAATTGAGAGTATAACTAACTGTAGGATTAGATACTATGCTTAAACTAGTGTGAAAATCATTTACCCAGATACATTGTTTAAGATGACTCCTGACATTTTCAACCCTAATGGAAAGTCAAAAGAGTCTTAGGGACTGGAGTTTGCTAATAGCTTTTGTTAGCCAGGTTGATTTAAAACAATCTCTGAGAACCAATCAAGCCAGACTTATAGAAGAAAAGAAATCAATTAAGGAAATAGTGTCTGGTAACCACATCTGCCTATAATCTTCTGTCTCTGGCACGGTAGTTTTATCTGCTTATAATCTTATAAGTAATACTCTCATAAATTTGGCTGGAGAGTTTACAATATATTAAATTGTAAAAATATAAGTTTAATAAAAAAGCCAAGAGACAAACTGAACCAAGAAAAACATTTAAAGCTGGAAGAATAAAATGTTCCCCTATTTGAATAGAAGAATTTTATGACAACTCTGGACCTATGTTGGGCTGCACTTGTCTGATAAAAGAAATGCGTGCTCCATCAACTATATCATAAAGTTTTACATTAACTGAGATATGATGTGAAATAATGGACAACAGTAATAATAAGTCTCTCTTTAAGCATTAGTCAGATCAACATTTTATTGACCAAACCTGTTAAGAGAAAACAGATAGATTTATCAAGCAAGAATATTTTATCTGAGTTGTAGTTTTTGTAATGTTTGACATTACCTCTGAAAATTGAATTTCATAGTTATTTTCGTTTTGTTTAAATAAAGTGATTTTTTTTTAAAAAAAAGCAATCAGTAGGTTATAATTTTAATACCATTTCAGTTGAATTGTTTTATTATATCCCCCACAATTTTAAGGCACTTGGCCATTTACAATTACAAACATTTAAATAAAATACTAATGATAGAAACAAATTTACAACAAATTGTAATTAAAATCTAAATCCAAAATAGTATAATAATTATCTGGCTATGCATCTGAAAAATAAATGCAGATAAATCTAATTCAAACAGTTATACTTTCATTGATTTTCTTTTTATTTAACAGAGTATTCAACTGCTACAGAAATTGACCTACAATGCAAGAATATTGCAATCCAGTGCTAATATTGAAGACTTAATTTCTTTCCTAATGATTCGTATGTAAGTTACTTAAATGCAGTAGTTAAATCTGCAATTGTAGGTACATTTATATCCCTATCTGTTCAGTTATCCTATGTACTTTAACCTTATGCAGTCTTGAGATGCATGGAAATATGTGACAATTGAGTTTAAATTTGGAGGCATATTGGATTGTTTTCTAGAAGTTTAAACTAGGCTTTCTAGTTGGAGATGTTTCTGCCACACTAGTGCAAGAAAGGGAAGATAACTTGTATATTAATCCCTGCTTTGGTTTGAGCATTCCTCATGGTGACTATTAGTGTGGTCTATCATATATATGAAAATTTTGAATATACAAAGCTTACCTAAAGCTTTAGACTAATACTTGATGTTTGAAATTTTTTTCCATTTGTGCCATGAGAATTTCAAGAATTATTTTATGCTCATCTTGGTGAGTAATCTTAAACTTCACCATATGTCCACTAGATATTTGATTATAGGGATTGCCTATTGTAAACGTGCTACTGGATTTAAAATGTGCTGAAAAGGCAGAAGTTGAAGAAGCTTCTTGGGTAAGAAACAAAATATCTTCCAAAAAACAAACAAACCAAGAAGGTCCAGTTGTCTCTTGAAAAAACACCTTCGGGACAAGAAGAAGTTGAGACTCTCCATAGACAAATTCCAGGAAGGTTTTGAGTCTCTACAGGGTCTGACACTGTGCCACAGTAATGTTTCTCGTTTTGTTTGGTCAGCTGCTACTGCATATCATAATATCTACAGGATAACCCAAACAGTTATCCTATAGAATATACAATAGGAGCCAACTGTCTTTGACGTTAGTATATAAACAACTTATAGTTATTGTAGAAGTGGTTTGTCCTGAACATTTAGTAGAATAAGTCTGCTAGTATTCAATGTATCCAAGTATCTTTCATAGTGGGGTATTTATGAGAATGTAGGCAGCATTCACAAGTAGTTTTACCACTTTGCCACTGACCACATAACTATTGGCAATCTCTTTTCAACCAGCTGTCAGTCACCTTATTTTTCTTTTTTTATTGATTAATAAAGTTAGTAAAGTAATTGGAGTAGTTTACATGCTGAATTTTGTATTTTTCTTTAATGTTGCCTTAAAATAATCACTAACATTTGCATTATATACAGCTTAATATATATACAAATCTATGTATATACTAAAATTAATGTGTTCTATATTGTGTAGCAAAGTGAATATTTTCTGAATGAATAATAATTAACTTGTAAAATCAGTTTATTAGTAAATATTGAATTATATGAATGACTTTTTAAAAAATCTTCAGTCAATCTACAGAAGATGAGTTAACTATACCATGCCTAGGACTTACGGCAAACCTTTGTCGACATAATCTCACTGTTCAAACATATATCAAGTCATTGGTAAGAAATTTGCTTTATTGAAGTCTTTTTTAAAAACATGTCCATAATTTAATAATTGGAAATCAAAGTACTTTTGGTCCAGGAAAAGGTCACAATTGCTTGCTCAACCTGGAAGCTTTTATTTTTGTGCGATTGTAATGGTTTTTCTCATTCAATTTGATTGTGCAAAAATAGAGATATTTTATCTAAAGCGATTCTCCTTTTTTCAATCAACTTTCATTCTACTATTCCATAGTTCCACTATGAAAGGATCAATCTATCTTCATTATAATTAAATGGAATGTATGAAATCTGTGACCATACATACAATTAATGTACAATTAATTCCTAATACATTTCCAACTGTGTTTACTTAGTTGCTTAAATGATTGTGTAAACTAAAATATGTCTCTGTGGTCTGTGAAGATCTGTGATTGAAATTGATCAAAGCTTAAACTGAGTTTTTCATAGAGAGATTTCTGAATGTTGACCACTATTATTGCTAAAAGAATGAACATGTTTATTGTTATGGATGTTGAATGTTATATCTTATAACTGCAAAGTCTGTAGGTTTTGTTGCTAAATAAAATTATCCACATAATTTGCTTAATTATGTTATCTTTAAATAATTAAAATTTAAATATAACTGTAATACTGATATGTATGTAGCAGTGCAGTATGCTGTAAGTAAAATAATACTTTACAAATATGGAAGTTATTTCCTATATATTATTTAGGTGTGTGTGTGTGTGTATAGTATTATTTGTCACTCTAATTATATGCAACTTTAATGCTTTGATGGGCAAAAGTTAAAATGGTTGAATTTTTAATCATTTTGGCTAGATATTTCAATTGTAAGTTTTTAAGGTGTACATTTTTCAACTAATACAAAATTATTGTAGTGCATATAATGCATTGAATTAGACTGTAACTTTAATCTCATTGCATTTTAAAGGATTTTTTTTCTCTTTGTACTAGACAAATGTGAAAGGTTTTTATCGCACTCTGATCAGTTTCTTGGCTCACAGTAGTCTAACAATGGTTGTTTTTGCACTTTCAATATTATCAAGTCTTACATTAAATGAAGAAGTTGGAGAAAAGGTAAGGCTGACTCAATTTAAAAGAAGCTTATGCATAGTATTTATACATTTATTTCTTTATTTGCTATAGTTTGCACACCACTTAATTTCCAATGGCTCTGAGTACTTACCTTAAGAAACAGTTTAAAAAAAAATTACAATCTAATAACAATATTCCTTAACAATAATCCTATCAAGTGCTGCTGTTGATCGGACAACCCAGAGCATTGCATGGCAGAGCTTTGGAAAATTCTTTAAGTACCCTTGGAAATCTTGGAGATAAAAATTGTGTGATCTGGTTGACTGACTAAAAAGGTACTTTATCTCTAAAGAGAGTCTTGGTATGGGAAGTTCTAAATTCTAAAGACACAAGGGAAAGATTTGCCTCTGAGAAAGTATTGATACAAATACCCACAATCAGTACATATATCATATATTCTAAGAAAAGAAACAGGTCTAGTATTTGGAGTCCTAAATTGAACTTCATACTCACAGACTCTAAGTAAGACAACTTGAAGTTCCACAAGACCAAAAGTCTGAATGCAACTGACTTGATCTATAATGTACAATTCATATGATTGTAAATCAGTTTTGTTTGTTTAGCTGTTTCATTCCAGAAATATTCACCAGACTTTCCAGCTAATATTTAATATCCTTGTGAATGGTGATGGAACCCTAACAAGAAAATATTCTGTGGATCTGCTTATGGATCTTCTGAAGAATCCGAAGATCGCAGATTATCTTACCAAGTAGGCTTTACATAATAATAATAATAAAAAATTATATCCCTCTATATATAAATACATTTTATATTTTCTGTGAACATTTGTCCTAGTTGGTTCTTTTTGTATGATTTCATTTGCTATATTTTTCCAATCTTTTCTTTGATTCTTTGGATCTTTTAAACTTAAGATATGAATTGAATTCTATAGTACTTTCCTATAGCTTTAATTTATATTTAATGTAAGGTAATAAGAAATCATTCTCCATCAGGACTTGTCAATAATTGGGCTAGATCAGGTTAGATCCAGCTAGTCTCTTCTAAAATTTTAATTTAAAAACACTGTGTATTATGAAATGCACCATTTTAGATGTGAGTCCCTTGTTTTAATTAAATAAAAAGCTGTAACAGAATGAGCTGCAGCTGAAGGGTTAGGGTCATCCTCCTTTCAGACTTTTCATCTTGCTGATAAGTATCTCAAATATTTTTTTATTCTACTTCATTAACAGATTAATGTACAGCTTTGGTTTTCCATTTACTAGATGTGAACATGCTTGGTTTGGGCCCAAGGCACTAATGAACAGCCAGCCTAATTCTACTATTCTGAGAATGATGGAATTAACAATAAGAGAAAATACCTGGCTATATGCATACATAGTTCTCAACTTATGATTGGCTGGCAAACGGCAGCAATGAAGTGGTTTGATTTACTTTATTAATGTTTTGGTGCTATGGAATACTTCAGAGCTCACATTAGCGAAGCGAAGCAAGCCTCTCCGTTGTTGGGCTCTATAGCACAGTCCCACAAGTGTCCGTTATTTTCCAAGTGGACACTCTGAAAATGACAGCCCCTTGTGGGATTGCAGCAAGCACAGTCCCAGGAACGAAAAGCTTTCTTCTTCTTTCCTAATGTGAGCGAAGCAAAGCAAGGTACTCTTATTACTGGGATCACACTGCAGTCCCATAAGGGACTATCGGTTTTGGAACAGCTGCTGCAGTGATCATGCCACACAGCCACAAACATATATCTAGAGTGCCACTGTGTACATGCTAGGAGAGGAGGCTGCTGCACTGCATGAGTTCATGTAAGCTGGAAAAAGGCCGCTTTGGTGCAAGCACACTGTTGAATGCAATCTTGTATTTCATAGTGGGTATATGGGGGTGTGGGGGAGAGAGCAAGAGCAACACACAACTTCCGTCTCCCAGCTTCCCCATTAATTTTGCTTATGAAGTTGCGAACGGTGACTGTGACCAGAGGATTCTGCAACTGTTATAAGTGTGAGTTGGTTGTCAAGCATCCAGTTCAGGATCACAAAACTGCAGATATCATGGCCAGAAATTCAAGAAACAGTCATAGTAAAGGGTGTGTTTGATAAATCCTTTACCAAATAATTTTTATTTTTGCCTATCAAAATGTACGTAATTTCAAGATTCCTTTTTATTCCTTTTTTCCTTAAAATTATAGGTATGAACATTTTACATCTTGTCTCAATCAGGTGATAGGCCTTCTGCATGGAAGAGATTCTGATTCTTCAGCAAAGGTATTTTCTAGGTGCATAATAGTGTGCGTGTGTAGTAATTTTTTATATTATCGGTAAAATGCAGTAAGCCACAATAATAAAAGTAACATCAGTGAATCTACGTAACATCTAAAAATTCTACATAATTCAAATGATTAAAGTAAGCTTAACAGTAATGAAAAAAGAGAAACTAATAAAAACAAGAACCGTGTAATGTCAGTTTGAGATTAAAACATAAATCATTAATCTTTAAGTCTAGACTCTAGACCATGTAGAAACATATTATTCCATTTCACATTTTTAGAATATAAAATGTTTCAAAAGTTAATAACAAATATATAATATATCTTGAATCCATTCCTTAACATCAGGAAAACAAGTTTCTTTCCATTTACATACATTTATAAGCCTCTCCTTAAAGTTCCCAATTTCTTACTTTAGACAATAGTTCAACTATTGCCCCCACTTTTTGGAACATTCTCTGACACCCCACTCTCCTGGCTTTTCAGAAATATCTGAAGACCTGTCTCTGTTGATTTTCTTGGGACTCACAGACGAGCATGCAGCCATGGACCTTTGCCTTTTTAATTTTATTTCAATCCTGTTTTTTCTCTTACTATACATGTATGCAACATTTTTGCTTTTATATTTCTTCTGCCTTAGGCATGAAGCCAAGCTGGGGTGGCCTTGGACCATTCATGGTCTCAGCCCTAGGAAATAGGCAGCAATGTGCTGGGACTTGTCCAGGTGGTTGCCAGGAGTTCTCCCCATGCCCCCGAAAGTATATAACTAGTATAATTTTACTATCTCCCCTGCCTATGCTAACATACTATAACTTGGGGGAAAAAGAACTGCGTAAAAAGACCTCTCTGTTATTTAGACACATATACACAAAGAAAGAATCAACATTCAATCTTTTAAAAATATTCTTTGATCAAACAAAAGTTTCTGATGAATTAACCTCATTCATCAATTATATATATAAAAGTGAAATACCACTCACGCATCATCACAAAATCTCAAGAACCGTAAGAAGCCTACAAACTTGAAATTTGGCATATACGTTCCTCTTGGCTTCTAGGTGCTCACAAAGAAAGAATTTTTTGAAATGACCATCAGAGCATTAGCATTTCATATATTAACATGCTCTGATGCTAAGGAGTTCTACTGCCCCTCCCTACCTGAATAAAAATTGTTCCAAATGTAAAACACAAGCAGAGGAGAGAAGTTTCAGTTTTAGTTTCACAACAACAAGCAGCTTTAGTACAGAACAGTTGACCTAAGCCACACCCAGGCTCCTTGTTGTCTCCTTGCTCACACAGGAAATACTGTTTCAGTTTCCAAACAGCCCTCAACTGACAGGATGCTAGCCAGATGAATACCGATGGATGCTGGTAGGCAGAGGCAGATTCCCCCCCGCCCCTTAATTTTCCTCCCAAAAAACTAAGCCTGACCACATAGTTTTATAGCAAGGCACGAGTATCAAGGTAGTATTTCATATTTCTTAAAAAAACCCATTGATTTTCCAAGACTTGGGTATACATTTATTTACAAAGCTGCTTTTCACTTCTGTAACTATTTCAGTTCTTTGTCCACCCAGTTATTAATTTTAATATGTTAGATAGCTTTTCTAGATAGCTTTCTTTGGGATGCTCCTTTTCTATGTCATCCGTGCTATCCTTAGTTATCCTCTCTGCAGATTTTCCTTCCTGATTCTACTTGCTCCAGGTGAATCCTTCATTGCATATTTCTTCTTCCTCTAGTAAACCTCCCTTCTTTTCTTTAATCGCTTAGGTCATATTGTTCCTTTACAATACAAATAGTTCCATTTCACAGAAACTGACAGCACCAACCAAAATTTCCTTTGCTTGACAAAATTGGTTGGATGGAAATTATGGAAGTGTCAGGCATCAATGATTCTTGGAATAATAGCATCCTTGTATTAATAAGGGAGAGGAGTTATTTTCAGTCATTGAATATCAGAAGAAGGGTGGTTTATTTTTCTATGTCCCTTTGTAATTCTTTCCCTTTGTATGGTTGTGTAGACTTTCCGTCCTTCGGATGGCTTTCTATATATGTCTGACTCTGTGTTAATCAGTATATGTCTGTCTCCTTGTGCCCTTTACTATCTGTTTCATTTTCTGTACCTGTAATCTATAACAGCCATTTTATGGTTCTGTGTGACTGTCCTAGGACTCTTCATGTCTATCGCTTTGCCCTTCTTTCTGATTTTAAAATAGCAACTGAAAATGTAGATAGTAGGAAAACTAACAACTTTTTCTTACAGGCCACAATACTCTAGAAGCCTGTTCGTTATTTGTCACACTTTCACAGATTCATTTACTCACAAAGCATCTTCTTGATAAATCCCCAAACATAAACTCCTGGAATAGTCAGATGCAATCCAAAATGATTAATGCTATGTTGTGTCCTGAAATAAACTACACTTTCTTGAAGAGATGGTTTGCTAATTTTTTTTAAAAAAAAATATCAAACATACATTTTCAGTGTTGCAACTGCTTAAAATACTGAATAAATGAACAATTTGATATATTTTTTTAAATAGTATCTTAAAGCAATAGTGTACTTCAGCAATAAAGCTTTGCATCATAAATCTGAAATTGTAAATATTAGTGTAAAGAACGTTATTTTAATAATTCTTGTGTTTCTCTTAGATATTAGAATTGCTACTTGCATTTTGTTCAGTGACACAACTCCGTCATATTGTACGTCAAGCAGTACTGGAACCAAATGTAGCAGTTTCTGCAAGTACAAAACTTGCAACTCGTGCTAAGAATTCAGACTCATCTATTGTTTTAGTGCATTGGTCAAACCAGCCACTGGAAGTATCTGAAAAGTGTTCACATCTTGCTTTGGAGCTATTCAGGGAGCTATTTGAGGTAATGAATTCATTGTGTTTTGGCTGTCGTATTGGGTTACTTTTAGTTTTTTGTAGGAGCAATGTTTATTATAGCAAAAAAATGATCAAGGAATCTGATAATAGTTATTTTACTAATAAAATTGATTATTTTGAAATTGAAAAGCATAAGCTTTCACTCACTTCATCAGATGCAAGGACAAGCTAGTCTGATACCAGATTTAAATTAGGATGGCAGGGAAGGATGAGGAAGACAATTTTGTTATATGTGAGACAGATTACAGATTATAGCTTCCCCAAGTCTTCTTGAGTGGTGCAGGAACTATCTAGATAATTATGAAGATCATTGTGAATAGCAATTGTAATATATTAAAAATGTTGTATTTATTAAAACCTTTTTAAGATTGCCTGAAACCTTTTGAAATATGAACTCAGCCATCTCTCTTAGTATTGTTTTTTAAAGATAGTCACTGGTTTGCTACAAAGTGGGAGATTAAAACACTTGTTTTGTTCTGATTTTGAGTTCTGATGTCAAAATTATGTCCATTTGTATAAAATTTGTCCTGTTTATTCTACATAGAATTATAAGGATATTGTTGGCATTTCATCATATAAGAGGCAGAATAAATGAGCACTTTTTAACTCGTGTGTGTACTTGTTAGGGCCTGCAAAATAGTAAAACATTTATATAAATGAGCATTTGAAAATACTTAGGCAAAAATTAAAGTTCTTACAAATTTTCTTATTTTTTAAAAAATTACTTTTTTCCTCCTCTAAGGAAAGGCCTGCTGCCTACAATTTTGTAAGTTCTTGTAATAAAATAACTCATTAATTATTGTTTCATTTTTAAAAAGGGAGAGATACTCAAGACTGCAGTTATGGAAATCAGATCAACAATTAACAGTGATATTTTTGTAAAACAGTGGTTAAAATTAGTCTAAGCTAATATAACTAAATTATAACCCTTTTAAAGCTACAAACAAGAATAAAATTGTCAAATCAACTTTACATAAAATTTTGTGATTGGACTGCATTTTTAAAAATAATAAATTATACTCCACAAAGTTTGGTGACAGGATAATTATTTAATTGTTTCAATGCCATTAAATTGATAATATTTCTGTTATAGGACATTATTGATTCAGGCAATAGTGCAACTGCAGAACGCTTTGTGGATCTTCTTTTGCCCATTCTTCTCGACCATCTTCATTTTCCTGACCACAGACTAGAAGATCTGTTGGCAAAGAAAAAATGTGAACGAATGATCAAAACTATTGATATCTTGATAAATATCCTTCTTACAAATTTTTGATATTGAAGATTGCAAGAAAATCATGCATTTAAAATAAGATAAATACATTTTAATTACAGAAAGTTTAAACACAAATTCTCTATTGGATACCAATGCAAAAAGAAAAAAGTTTAAGGCAAAATAGAAACACTCCTCTAGATAATTTTAAAACAGATTAGGATATTAAAACATTTTTAAATGTTTAAACATTTTTCTGTTTGTTTTATATAGAAAATGCATTTTCTGAATTAATAATTAGCACTTAATAACTAACAGAGGAGATTTCTTAATGTTCATTTATTTTCCTTTCAAGGTCTGGGTTTTTGTTACATGACACCTTATATATCCAGCAGAAATATTTTCCATTATACATTTATAGTATTCAACAGAAATTAAGAAAAATTAGACTATAATAAAATTATAAATTATTATTTAACTTATTTGGGAAATTGCCAGTTATTGTGGGCATTGCTTGAAGATTCCCCAGTTTTTAATTAATTTACTTTGAATTAGATTTATTTTCCTGTTTAGACTTTCATTTTGCACTACTAGCGAGTTTTACCTACAGGCAACTCTCGCTTACTGATCACAACTGGGACCACGCCATGATGGCTAAGTAAAAAAACCAGGGGACTTACAACTTTGCATATGCTTTTGACATTAAGCAAATTCCTGCAGTCATCAAGCAAGATATCATGTAACAGCAACTTGCAATTTCCCTTCCATGTCATGAATTCTGTTTGTTAGAAGCTGGTTGTGAAGCATGTAAATAGCACTCTTATGGCTGTAGATGCTATGATGTGAGGGTTGCAAAGCTGTGGGGTTTTTTTCCTAAACAGAAGAGAATATATGTAACTCAAGGTTGAACTGTGGGGCCCTTGATGTTTCTTTGGTTATTTGCTTGCAGGTGATTTATTACCTATTAGGTGTGCAGTTTGCTTCTGATTTGCACCCTGTTAATAAAAAAAACTTCCAGTATTGCCTTCCAGTATTAGTGGACATGTGATTTTTTTCCTTTGTAGTTTCTTGGTTAAGGTGTTTTTGGATTCTTTGTTTGATGTTAATTCCTCTTTTCTTTTTCTCCAATCATTAAAACTTTGAGTAGTTGTTAAACAAAGCAATCAATAAGTGAGGAATATAAGAGTATTCGTTAGTGAATTTGACCATAAGCTGAATATTTCAGAAAAACAGACTCCTTAACAGAATTTACCTCTTTGTGCAGATGATATGCTGAAAATGCATGTCACTAAAGTTTTAACAGCTAGCAAGTGTTCTATTTTAATAGAACACCAATTTACTTCTAGTGGAGTTGATTTTAGTTTTGGAACAAAATTTATGGACTGTGAATTAAGGTAAGCACAACCTAGTGTTTTTATCATCCTTTTTATATTTTTTCCAACCAATAACTTTGTGTTTCAAAAGAATATATTGAAATTTTGTGGAAACTAGTCCCTATTATTATGAGCCGTGATAGCGCAGTGGTTAGAGTGCAGTACTGCAGGATTCTTCTGCTGACTGCCAGTTGACTGCAATTTGGCAGTTTAAATCTCACCAGGCTCAAGATTGACTCATCCTTCCAAGGTCAGTAAAATGAGGACCCAGATTGTTGGGGGCAATATGCTGGCTCTGTAAAATAGCTTAGAGAGGGCTGTAAAGCACTGTGAAGCAGTATATAGGTGCTATTGCTATTATATTTTTGTGAAACTTATAACGAACTCCCTAAAATGCATAGCCTGCAGTTCTATTTTAGCAGGAATTTAATGTATAAATATGTGGTTGCAATAATTCAACAATTACTGTTTTTTTAACTTTGCCATTCTTTTTTTACAAGTTAAAAACGCAAAGTTTTTCAGAGTACTATTGCATCTTAATATAACATTTTACACTCCAGAGTTTAGAGCAGTGGTTCCCAAAGTGGGCGGTACTGCCCCTGGGGGGGATGACTTAGGGGGCGCTAAGAGGCAAGGAAGGTGGCAGAAAAGTGCTGAAGGTGGCCCCTCGCAGGGCGCAATTCAGTTTCCCCTTACCCCACTTGCCTGGCTTGCTAGTGGCCGAGAAGAAGGCCAGCCAGGCTGACCTGTTGCTGCTTGGGTCCTGCCTGGATTCTCTGCAGCTGCTGGGCCTTGCCTGCTAGGGGCAGGGGTTGGGCCTTGCCTATTAGGGGTGCCCCTTGCCTGCCGCCCCTTCCCTCTGCTGCCCGCCAGCCTGCGTGCTTTGGCTGAATGCAGGCCACCGCTGTGAGAATGATGTGAGTCAAGCCTCACGAGAGCAGATCTTCCACTCATGGAGCTTGCATAGCAGTGGCCTGCACTCAGCTAAAACACTTGGAGGGGCAGCTGGCAGAGGGGGATGCAGGTGGCGTGGGTCTTGTGCTTCCTGATTTTCTCGCACACCCCTCAGCAGCTGCGACCCAGAAGCACCCAGAGATGTGGGCTGGTGGGGAGCCAAGTAGCAATGGGTCTGCCCTGACTGGCTCAACTTTCCCTCTGCCACCAGCCATGGGAGTAAGGTAAATTTGTAGGCAGTCGGGAAAGCCCAAACCTCTGTGGTGGGCAATGCTGCAGCCTCGCTTGAAGTTTCCAGCCCTTTCCCCAAAAGAGGGAGGGGTGGAAGTCCCACCCGTGGCCACTTTGTTAGACCCAGAAGCCTTGCCTGCCAGCTTTTCCATGCAATGCGGGACCAAGTGTGAACGGACAATCGCACCTGGGACTCAGGGAGACTCATCACGAGTGACGCTGCTGGGTGACTACCTGGTTGAAGTGTGTGTGTGTGTGTGTTTCAGGTGGGTCGCCTAGCTTAGGAGAGAGCAAAGGAGGAAGGGAAGGGATAGAGAAAGAGAGAGGAAGAGACAAGAAAGTAAAGAAAGAAAGGGGAAAGAGAAAATGGGAGAGAGAAAGGAAGAAAAGGGATAGACAAAGAAAGAGGGGGGATGGAAGGAAAGGACAAAAAGAAAGAGAAAGGGGGGGAGGAGAAAATGAATGGGATATATGGAGGGAGAGAGAAAGAGAGAAGAAAGAAAGCAAAGGAGAAAGGGAAAGAAAGAAAAAGAGAGAAAGGAAGAAATGGAATAGAAAGAAAGAGGGGGTGGAAGGAAGGGACAGACAGAAAGAGAAGGAAAAGAAAGGGAGGGAGGAGAAAGTAAATGACATATCTAGTCCAACCACCTTCTCCAGCAGGGTTAGAAGGGTGTGTGTGTGTTTGTGTCTGTCTGTCTATCAAAACTCCAAAAACAGGTCAAGTAGCTCTGTGGAGGTCAGTCATAAATTAGAACACTTGCTAAGCAACCGGCCATTAAGCGAAGACCACTTGTATTTGGTTTTCCAGTCACATAGCCACCTGACCACTCCCACCCAGTCACATTACCACCAAACCACGCCTCCAAATTAGGCCATGCCCACACAACCGGTTGTTAAGAAATTTGAATCCCACCCCTGGGGGGGGGGCACTGAGGATGAGTTTGTAGCACCAAGGGGACGGTGGATTTAAAAAGTTTGGGAACCACTGGTTTAGAGTATTTCTAAATAAGGAACCCAATAACCATGGAGCTATGTGTCCCATATCAGTATTCAAAAGAAAGTCTTAATAGAAGTGCAAGTATATACTCATTTAAACATATCTGAATGAACTCTTTCAAAAATACGGAACTCTACTTTATCAAAGGTTACCCAAATGTAACCTTATTCCTGATTTTTCTGCTCAGCATGGGAATAGTATATGGAGCGGAAATAGAAATGTTGCTGTACCTGTTCAGATGTAATGTATGAACAAGGCAACTGAAGGTTCCGTTAAAGATTGGCTTTTTCCCTCACTTCTGGTAAAATGAAGACCCAGATTGTTGGGGACAATATGCTGACTCTGTAAACTGCTTAAAGAGGGCTGTAAAGCATCATGAAGTGGTATATAAGTCTAAGTGCTATTGCTATAATAACCAAAAATTTTAGCCCATTTATCTTTAACCTGTTCTTCCTGTTTCAAACTTCCATAAAAGCTTATACATTTTTGCAATTATGTGTTCATCATCACTACACAATGGTACTTCAAATTCTACCTTATTTTGCCCCAAACCATGTATTTATTTTTTAACTTTCCTGATAACTACAAATGGAAAGCCATTGACAACTATATCTTCTGCCATTACTTGTCTTTTGATTTAATTTTCTATTCCCCTTGATTATTGCTTTCATAGATTTGTAAAAGTAATTATTTTAATTTTGAATGCTTATTCATTATAAAATAATCTCTTAACACTTTTAGCAAACTTGCTGCTGATCTAATCTTAAAAACACTGGATCTGATGAGTAAGCTTAAGCAGCTGGTTCCTAACATGGAAGTCAGTTTTTACAAAGTTCTTCAGGTACAAAGTTTTAAATATTTATATAAATCGCTCTAAAAATGATATATGTCATTCTGATCATTTTCTAACAGTGACTATTACACTTATCAAACAAACCTCCATAGCCTTTAAAAACGTAAGTATCACCTGGGGAAATGAAAAAGGGCTAAATGGAAGGTGATGTCAAAAAATTATTACTTATACTGTTTGTGCAAAAAACTGTGTAAACCACTGCTGGCCCTTTTGAAAAGGGTTTTTTAAACTAACAAGTGCTCTATATCTAGGACCAGCGCTTGGTTTCCCCTTTGGCTTTTGCTTTAACATCAGACCACAGGGAACAAGTTCAAGCAGGACTTAGAATATTATTTGAAGCAGCCCCGTTGCCAGATTTTCCTGCCATAGTGTAAGTTTCCTATTGTTTCTTTAAAAAAATACTGTCTTTCATAAAAATGTTTTTGAAAATCTTTCTTGAGACACTGCTATTATTTCACATTTTGAACTTATTCTATAAGACACACATTTTCCCACTGATACCGCCTTTTGTGTGTGTGATGCTTTTATTAGACTTGGTGAAAGTATTGCAGCCAATAATGCTTACAAAAAACGGGAATCTGAGCCTTTCTCTAAAAGAAGTCATCTGCAGGCATCCGTGACTTCTGTAAATTCAGTAAAATCCTCTAATGTTTGCCATACCAATGATGGTGATGCTGCAACTTTCAATATTCAGGACCTGATACACAAACTCCAATCTGGCTTAGAGGTTAGTACTTTTAACACAAACATGAAAACATTTTTGTCTTGATATAAAATTAAACCACAGTACAATGTAGCTCAGTGTGGGACTTGAATCTACAGTATTCAGAAATTTGTACAAACTCCACTAAATATCTGAGTGAAGGAAATGAAGTAAATTGATTTTGTAAGACAATAAATATGAATCCTTGTTCATAATTACAGTGCCTTAAAATTATGCTATGGAATCCATTAATATGGAAATAAATGAATTTTCATTTGTTCTGTTTTGATGCACATTAGTTATAGGGTCACAGAAAATTTTGTTTTGCAATATTTCAATAATTATATTAATTCCATTAATACCCGGGTTATGTATGATGTCACTTTGTGAATAGAACATGTGTAGTCATTCGTCATATCAAGTTTTTTATTTGTCCATATAGGTACAATTTTGAATTAAGATTTGCATATTACTTTAGCTTATATTATGAACATTTCCAACAGATGAAGGAATCAGTCACAGACATCAGGGTATCTGAAATAATAGAAGTATATGAACAGAAATTGTCTGCATTGGCAGTGAGTATATTTAATAAGACTTTTTTTTCATGTGCATGCTCTGAATGTGCAGTTCATTTTGCAATAATTTTCTTTTTAGTCCAAGGAAACAAGGTTGCAGGACCTTTTGGAAGCAAAGGCATTAGCTCTTTCTCAAGCTGATAGACTTATTGCCCAGTATCGTTGCCAGAGAGCTCAAGCTGAATCTGAGGTGGGTGAAGCAGAATTATCATAGAAGGGTTCATTTACTATGTACATACACCTGTCAGTACAAAATTGTTCGTGTAATCTGTCTTGTTTTTATTTGAAAATAAGCTCTAGATTATATATTTCAGTTGGTATAAAAACACTATCCTTTTATGATTGTAGATATTTGTACATCTGCAAATTATGCTTTAAGGCAAATTTGCTGTCTGGTTCTTGAAACTTAAAAGCCTTAAATGCTGGTTTAGCATTAGCATGGTTCATTGGTCTAGTGTCCTAACATTTCATTCACACAATGGAACTGTCATTTTGCACAAATTCCAAAAGGCTAGGACGCTTGCTTCAATATTGAAGGATACAGAAAGAAAAAATGAAGATCTGGAGTCACTATTGAAAGCACAGCAGACAGAATCTGAACGAGCACAAAATGATATTGAACAACTATTTCAGCATAATCGGAAATTGCAAACAATAGCAGAAGAATATGAGATACTGAAAAGATCTTCCATTGATCTGCTTCAAAAGTAAGATATAACGCTACTAAGCATTCCTCCATAGAAAGCAAGAGAGAGAGGGAGATATTGCACTCAGACTATATAATTGTTTATATCATCAAAAAGGATGAATAGGGATATTTTATTTTTATTGACAAATAGAATTTATAGGCTCTATAATTAAAGGAACATTGCTAGATATAACCAATCTAGTTATATCTATATCAATTTCAATAAAATTATCTTAGATAAAGTAACTAGTGCAGTCATTTTTATATGTATTTTTTATTTCAGAAGCATCCATATAAGACCCCACATAGGATTGAAAAAGTATTTTGCCATGGAACCTATGTGAACTTAATTTGATACTTACAGGTAGTCCTTGACTTACAATTATTCGTTCAGTGACTATTCAGAATTACCATGGTGTTAAATGAAGGCATTACATTTTCTTCACAGTTACATGATTACAATCTGGATACTCTGATCACTTGAGAGCTGGTTGAAAAAGCTCCATTCAGAAATTCAAGCAGGGTTATGGTATGGGGCATTTTCAACCAGTCCCCAGATCCAGATCCAGATCCAGCTCTTGTCTCGGAAGACTGCCTTAAAAACCTTCATGCCAAAACCCGAGCAGAATTTTCAGCCACAGAATGGAAATGCTTCGGAAGCCTCTGGGACGAAACATACAAGTGCTTTCTGAAATCCTCACTTCCATGCAGCCTCTCGCAGCATAGTCTGGGATTTGCAGCTTCCTTCTGGCTTTCCCCGCTACATTGATTGTGTGAAGCTGGCAGGAAGTTGCCTCACCTAATGTCCGGGACATTCACTTAATGATGGCAGCCAGGATTACATTTATTGTCATTGCTTGCAAAGTACACTGCTCAAAAAAATAAAGGGAACACAAAAATAAGACATCCTAGATCTGAATGAATGAAATATTCTTATAAAATACTTTGTTCATTCATAGTTGAATGTGCTGACAACAAAATCACACAAAAATTATCAATGGAAATCAAATTTAGCAACCCATGGAGGTCTGGATTTGGAGTTACACTCAAAATTAAAGTGGAAAAAAACACGACAGGCTGATCCAACTTTGATGTAATGTCCTTCAAAAAAGTCAAAATGAGATTCAGTAGCGTGTGTGGCCTCCACGTGCCTGTATGACCTCCCTTCAACGTCTGGGCATGCTCCTGATGAGGTGGCGGATGGTCTCTTGAGGGATCTCCTCCCACACCTGAACTAAAGCATCCCCCAATTCTTGGACAGTCTGGTGCAACGTGGGGTTGGTGCATGGAGCGAGACATGATGTCCCAGATGTGCTCAATTGGATTCAAGTCTGGGGAACAGGCAGGCCAGTCTATAGCATCAATGCTTTCGTCTTGCAGGAACTGCTGACACACTCCAGCCACACGCATTGTCGTGCATTGGAACCCAGGGCCAACCGCACCAGCAGAAGGGTCTGAGGATCTCATCATGGTACCTAATGTCAGTCAGGCTACCTCTGGCGAGCAAATGGAGGGCTGTGCGGCCCCCTAAAGAAGTGCCACCCCACACCATTACTGACCCACTGCCAAACCGTCCATGCTGGAGGATGTTGCAGGCAGCAGAATGTTCTCCACGGCTTCTCCAGACCCTGTCACGTCTGTCACATGAGCTCAATGTGAACCTGCTTTCATCTGTGAAGAGCACAGGGTGCCAGTGGCGAATTTGCCATTCTTGGTGTTCTCTGGCAAATGCCAAACGTCCTGCACGGTGTTGGGCTATAAGCACAACCCCCACCTGTGGACGTCGGGCCCTCATACCGCCCTCATGGAGTCTGTTCCTGACCGTTTGAGAAGCCACATGCACATTTGTGGCCCGCTGGAGGTCATTTTGCAGGGCTCTGGGCAGTGCTCCTGTCCCTCCTTGCACAAAGGCGGAGGTAGTGGTCCTGATGATGGGTTGTTGCGCTCCTACAGCCTCCTCCACGTCTCCTGATGTACTGGCCTGTCTCCTGGTAGCGCTTCCATGCTCTGGACACTACTCTGACAGACACAGCAAACCTTCTTGCCACAGCTCACATTGATGTGCCATCCTGGATGAGCTGCACTACCTGAGCCACTTGTGTGGGTTGTAGACTCCGTCTCATGCTACCACTAGAGTGAAAGCACCACCAGCATTCAAAAGTGACCAAACCATCAGCCAGAAAGCATAGGACCTGAGAAGTGGTCTGTGGTCACCACCTACAGAACCATCCTTTATTGGGGATGTCTTGCTAACTGCCTATGCTTTCCACCTGTTGTCTATTCCATTTGCACAACAGCATGTGAAATTGATTGTCAATCAGTGTTGCTACCTAAGTGGACAGTTTGATTTCACAGAAGTGTGATTGATGTGGAGTTACATTGTGTTGTTTAAGTGTTCCCTTTATTTTTTTGAGCAGTGTAGTTTGCACTTTATGATTACATTTTCTTAGTGATGGCAAACATGATTCCAATTGCCTTAATATGTCTAGGACTACCTGTAAGTGCTAACAATTCCTCAGTGGGATGAATGTTAGCTGAATAAAATTGGATAGTATCCTTTCTTTCAGTGCATAGGCTGAAAAAAGGCTGTCTAGGAAAGAGGTTTCTACTCTTCAGTGTTGGTTGAAATTTATCAGATATTGCAAAATTTAGATAGTAAAGGCATATAAGTTTTCTCAAATATTTTAAATGTAAATGCAATACCTAGCTGAGCTTTTAAATAAACATTAATACAAAATTTGGACAAATTGGATTTTTTTAGAAACCAACAGATAAATTGAACCCTTTGCTAATCTTATTCTACATAGGTATGAGAAAGACTACTTTCTCATTTGTGAAAACTACAATCAAGTTTGGCTAGCAAATTGCAAAATTAGGTCTTAGTATTTAATTTTATGAATTATTCCAGTTATTTTTTTCTACTGTTTCTTAGCTGTGGGAACTTTTTTTAATCATATCCCCTAATAGGTAAGGGAAAGTGATAGAAATAGAAGCAACTGAAACCACAAGTTTTGCATAACCCTCTCCCCCAATATTTAAAAAAATACCCCAAAGAATGAACAAAACTCTTAAGAGAGAAAATGCCTGATGAAGCAATTAAAAGAACATCTTACAAGTTCACAAGGTTCTTGGTGAATAGCTTGCTTATCTGTAGATCTCAAAACACAATTTGTATAGGTAAAAGTATAAGTAAAAATTAACTGCAGATGTGATTTGTTTCTTGTTGATAGACCAGATTCTGTTGTCTCTTTTATTACTAGAAAATAAGTTTATTTTTATTGCTTTTTACTGTTAAAATCATATTTATATTCCACAAGCTGCATAGAAAAGTAAAGGTTTGTCATGCAATTAATTAGTGACAAGATTTTTTTTTTTAAAAAAATGTGTATTCTCTGATCAGAATTCCTCATGGAATATGTTACAGTCCTGAAAGTTTAAAGTGCTAAAAACACAATTTCAAACACAAGGAAGAGGATGCATAATTTGATAGGAGGATCTAGCATATATCAACAGAAAACAATATTTGTAGCTCAGGATTGAACTAAAGTTTCATTGACTGATGATATTACCTAGTTGGGTACTGAAACATTTGGAAGAAAACAACCAAACTCAGAGAGCACCAAGGACCCCACACTCTAATATATGTTATTAAATATTACATTATGAAAACTGCATAGTATTCATTCCTTTTAATAGTAATAATTTGAAAATTTTAGGCATGAAACTATTGAAAAGCAATATAACAATCTGCAGGGAATGTGTAATTCATTGAATAAACAACTGGAAACCCTTAAAAGACTGAATGAATCACTGAAGCAACAGAATGAAAAGTAAGTTAAGTTCTTTTGTAAAGTTTAAAGAAAGCTAGATTTAAATTAAATTGTTTTGTTGAATCATAAGAAAAGTTGTATAGATTTTTCTTTTTGTCAAACAGCTATGATAAAGATTATTCAGTAATTGGGGACAAATGATTATTGTGGTAGTAAAATTAAAAATTATTTTTAAATAAAAATACTTTTGAATTATTTTCTATTGCTAAGATTCCCACATTTATAGTGTTGTATGACTTTGAGAGTATATGTCTATTCCAAGCGTACTATTTACTTCTTTTCTCACTTGTCACCAACCCAACTTTAACTTTTTATCTGATTCATTTTTTTTCTTAATTCCTGTTTTCAACATTGTTACATGACATGAAAAGTTTCATTTGGGTCAGGGATGCTTCTCCCTGTTGAAGATATATTATATGAAAATAAATTTTGATAACAAGTCAGGCTGTTGCTGGTATACATAGCTACAGCATGATTCTTAGAGGGGTAATACTTTTATTTATTTAGTTGTTTTATTTTGTCAAGCGATTATAAGATAACAGGTATAGGTATAAACATAGTTATGGATATATGAAATGGATATGAATAACAAAAAAAAGAAATAATAGGACAGGGACAGCAGGCACGTTGGTGCGCTTATGCATGCCCCCTGTAGACCTCTTTGGAAAGGGGTGAGGTCAATAGTAGAAAGTCTAAGGTTAACGTTTTTGGGGTTTGGGGAAGAAACCACAGAGTCAGGTAGAGTATTCTGTTTTTCGTATTCTGTTTTTTATTTTAATATGTGAAATCTAATATTTATGCTTACAATGTCAGAACCACCGCTCAGCTTCTTGAAACAGAAGAACATAGAAAAGAATTGAGCAAACAGATCCAAGAAAAAGATGGACAAATATCAAGTTAGTACTTATAAATGTATCAGGTTTTTCATACATATTGCTTATAAAGAAAAGGTAAAATTCATATGTTCTGTTATTATATATTTGTTGGGTTCTTCATGCTCCCTTGGGTTGTTTTCTTGAAGACATTTCATTGCCAGGCTGTTTGTATTGTTACATATTTTACATTTGAAAAGCTGTAAACTTGCAATTCTATGTTCTCTTTTAAGACATTCCAAAGACAGGCAGTATTTCAAAACCCTGTTTCCTAAGTTGTGCAAATCCTTCTGGCATAAAGCATACAACTCCTGCTTCTCATTTTAGAAAGCCAAGCAAAAAAATTAGACAAGCTGAATCCTAGTCTGGTCCCCAAACAAGCAGGGAAGTATTTTATTTCAAGTATTATTAATGCTAGTGAGAAAACCTAGAAAAGCAAATGTTTTAAAAAATAAAGCGCTACTTCCTATCTTCTGCCCTGGCAACAGAAGGCCATAATCCCTTAGAGCCTAGGAGAAGAAAATTTTTCTACCTTTAATTTGCTCCGTTCTGCTCCTTTTCTTTACTGTACTTGTCAATGATCAGTACTGCACAGGTTGCATATTAGAAGTGAACCCTGGTCCTGAACCAGGGAGCACTTTTAGCATGCAACTTGTGCAATACTGACCATTGCAGTGCAATATTTAAATGCTAACTTAATTAATGGGACCCTTGAATTGTTTTGCTTTTGAAATTGTTTCTCAAAGCCAATATTACTGGTTGAGGGGGCCTGGGCTATCTTTCCAATTTGGCTAAGAACTAAGTAGAAGAGTGAACGATCTTTATCTTTCATAACCCATGAGAAGGGTAGCTAATAGCCCAGTTAATCTCTCTGCATATGGAGCTTCTCTCAGTTGACCTTTTAGTTAGATGTGGCAGCTGACACAAGGTATAGCAGAGGCTTGCCAAAGGAAACTGCTAATGCCACCCCCACAGTGTCAGGACTAAGCACAAGTAGGACATTCCTACCTCCATACCTGAGTGTCTACCACCAGTGCAGTGTCCTGTCATTCCTACCTCCTGCTGCTAGCTGTTTAGGATTGTGGCTAGGTGCGATATTAAATTTAGCTATTATACATTGTTTCTTAAAAGCCCCATTTCAAGCCAAGTATGTTTTTGCACTAAACTGAAAATGTGAAAAAAAAATATTAAGACAAATGCTGAGGACTGTAAAATGTGAATGGTCACTGTTCAGCAGATGGCAGTGCTGCACAATTCATGCAATGATAGTTGTGGAGAAAGTATTTGTGTCCAAAAGTTTTGAGTAAACTACTTTGGAAAAAGAAAACCCACTTTTTTTCTTACATATTTTTCAAAAGGTTTACAACAGAAGATAAAAGTTCAAGAAGAAAAACTAAAAACCAGACAGAAGGAAAAAATAGATATGGAGGACAAAATGGACATTCTCAGAAAAGAGCTAAGTAAAACTGAACATGCAAGAAAAGAACTAAGTATTAAGGTAAGTTATTTATTTATTTATTTAGGATTATTTGTGTGCTGTTACTTCTTGTGATTCCAGGGACCATAGAATAAATTCATTGTAGGTATATATATTGAGAAAAATAAAATTAAAAATGGAAAGAGGTTGGAAATATGGCTAGAGATATATTGAATTAAATGAGATACACTTTTGAGTAAATACTACTTTTCTTAAGAGTCATAAAAAATAACAGACATTAAACAACTTACATCCATATCTAATGCCCTAGAAACCTAAACTGATTTATTTTGTTAAGTTTTTTGTTGATTTTCATTTTCATTTTGCAAAAGGTAAAGTTGCTATGTTCTAATAAAGTACATGTTTATGAAAAGTTTCCTTTATAGTTTTTAAGGTGTGTATGGGTGCATGTTATCTAGGTTTTAACTTGAAATATTTTTTATTTGTTTTAAGTTGATTATTTCTAAAAATCAGGGAAAGCATGAATTTTCTTAGATGTTTATACTAAAAAGATTAAAGATAGTTGTGATTATTGATTTATGATTTATCAACTGAAACATCCTCCAAAATATACTTAGCACAATCAATAATTAACAGCCAAGCCACTTCAAAATATGTTTTATGAGTTATTGTCTAATTGCTGACTGGTTTGTCAGTTTAGATGTTTTGAGTAAGTGCAGTTACCTATTGTGTGAAACTTGCTGAATTTTGATTTCACCCAATGAGAACAGAGAATGCATATATTTGCATGCTTGTTAGCTATATTGAATAGTGTATAATATGTATTTTCAGGCATCTTCTTTGGAAGTTCAGAAGTCACAGTTGGAAGGGCGACTAGAAGAAAAGGAGGCTTTAATCAAGCTTCAGCAAGAAGAATTAAACAAACATTCTCATATGATTGCAATGATTCATAGCTTAAGTGGCGGTAAACTAAATGCAGAAGCAGTGAATCTCAGTTTATAGAGAAGATTATCTCAATATGCGATTAATGTCATTTTATGTTTTGTTATGAAAAATATTTTAGGCAACTTTCCTTGAAGATATTGTGGCTTTTATGAATAGTAGGCTACATTTTATTCTTTTTGACACTAATATCTATATCACTATTGGCTGCCTTGTTTATGGATTTAACAAGGACTGGATATAATTTTTGAAAACATATTAGTAAAAAACCATTTGATGCTGAAACTATCAACTATGATAGGTTTACTTAAGTTAGTAATTCTACTCTTAAACTGTTTTTATAAAAGCTTTCATTTCCTTGTATACAAAATGTTGCAGTGAAATCTTGGTGGTTAACATATACACTTCAAAATGAAAGTCTATAAATATATGTATATGTATATATATATATTATGTAGAAAAATGTTTTTAAGTCTTATATTACAATACAGATATACATTAATGAGTTACAAATATAAAAGAGGTCTGAAATCCCCCCCCCCCCAGAAGTAGAATAGAAGGTCAGTTTTTATATATTCAGTATTCCTCCCAGTGTAAATGTTAAATAATTATATTCATAGTTTTTCAGATTTAGAGATTTCTGAAAATAATGCCACAGGTTGTTTTTGTTCTTTTTAAAAATATTCTACAAGTTTTCTAGCATTTATTACAAACCTATTTTTTGTTGAAGATAGATAAAGGTAGTGTATATATTTAAACTATTGCATGAATATGTTTTTAAATAATGAACTTTCAACAACTATGTGTAGTTTAAAAATCAACTTACAACATATAGGGCAAGGACGTGTTTTCCTATTGTACTTTATATATCTGTCCTCTCATGATATAATGAAATCTGATTATGTTTGGAGACACTGAAACTCCAAAACAATTAGTATTAATTCCACTTAAGAGGGTAGTGATCATATGCCAACATTTCAACAAGTACCTTTACATTTTAAATTCTATGTGTCAGTCTTCCTCTTTAACTATGTGCAATTGATGTTGTCAATTATATTTTTGAAAGCTATTTTCTCCAACTTGGCAGTGGTATTTGACATCTAAATGAAGTATTTATTATGGACTCTAGTGGTCTTTTTATATTTTTATTATAATTGCCTTAATTTGTCTCTGGAAAAAGAAATAAATAACTCTAAAGTTATGCATGGATCTTTGATGAAAACTGGTTTTCTTTTTTCTTCCAATTTATCTTGACTTGCGTGAGCAGTTCATAATTAGTTCCACAGTCAGCTCTTGCCATTCTTTCCTATAATAACTGAGATCTTCCATAATTTTTTTCTATCAAAAACCTCTTTGTGTATTCAGTATAATGTTGCCCATGTATGATGTACTGTATTGTACATTTTGTTTGTTGGAAGGCTGTTAGTATTAAAAAAAACACTGGATTGGGAAAAATTGATATGCCATTCTCCTATTCCATTTCTATTTCTTACTCATGCTTTCCAGCTAGGTTGTCCTCCTGAACACTTTCAACTTTGGCATTTCAAACTACAACCAAAAGCAGCACAGAGTGCTTTCATATTTTGTTGATTTCAGATTCAATTTGAGCAGATAACCTATGAATCTTCTCCTCTGTACCAATGGTTGAGGCATACAGTTAGTTAATCGTTAACTAAGGTTTCTCTGCAAAGTCTAATTGATATTATTTAATCACTGTTTTGCATTGTACCAAATATTGCCCTTACAATATCACTTCAGATTATAAAAGCAATGGCATCCTCCTGTGTATCCTGAGTAGTAAAAAGTGTGATCTTTTGGCTGAAAGGTCCATTTCCTGTCTATCTAATTCATTAATGCCTAAGATATTCATTTTTATGCTGATTTTCTCATATTCCTGATTTTTATATCCCATGTTTCTACTGTACTTCTACCTTTGCATTTTCAGATTTTATTATACTGCAATAAGGGCAAGTAGATGTCCCAGAGGCTTTAATCTCACTTTAATCTTAGTACTCTGATAGATCCTCAGCTTTTCTTCAGTAGCATATGAAGCATGTTTAGTATATTTATTTAAGAAAATTTATATGAACACCCAACTAACTCTCAGTGACTCCAGATGGCTTTCAAGGATAAAAACCCAATATAAAAACAACACAAGCAATAACACCACCACTCCAACTACAATAGTCAAATAAGCCATTTGATAGGCTCCATCCCTCTGGGTTCCCAGGCCTGTTGGCAAAACAAGATCTCCAGGCCATGCGAAAGATTGTCAAAGTGGGGACCAAACTTATCTCTAGGGAGAATGTTCCACAGGGAGGGAGCCACCACAGACAAGAGCCTTGGACCCACTAGATCGACCTCCTTAGGAAAGAATCTATTGTATACAGAATGTATATATACTGTACAACAGTGCATGCTAGGATGATAAAAAGAAACCACACACTTAAGCTACATTTGTCAAGTGAAATGATAACATAAGTTTCCATTAAAGAATAACGAGAACAGCTCTTCCCAAAGGTCATCAAGAATTAGCCCCACTAATAGCTAACATGATGGTAGTTCTGTCTGGTGTGGCCTGTAAATGAAATAAGCATAATTGTTTCCACAGTAACAAACTTTATACATGGCTCTAGCAGATCTTGCATATGGCAATTTAAATGTCAAAGTTTTCTATGTTCTCTATGAAAACATTAGTCTTCAATGAACCCTTTTTCATATTTTGAGAACAGATATTTAATTGTGCTGTGCTGCCATCTGCATTCAGAGAGAAAATGATTCAGCATATACATACTCTTTCATATACCATCTGCTGGGAACACCTTAAACCAAATGCATCTCTTCCAGGAGATGGTATTAGCTGTGGAGGCAGCTGTGAGAACTGAGAAGAAGCAACTGTTTGAAGGTTTTCCTGAACTCTGAATCACATTATGCCCTTTGAATCTAGATTCAATCTAATTGAAATCTAATACGAAGCCTTAATATGAATATTAAATAATAGGAAAGCCCTAATATAATCTCATAGGAAGAATAAACACATAAGGAAATGTTTTGCAAAATAGTAATTTTTTTAACTGATCTCAAAATTGTATAATAAAAGTTACTGATTTGTTCAAAAATTTATAAAGAGTTCCTGACTGAAATTTTCAAAGCTATTTTCTCAGTCTGAAAGGCAGTAACTAGATAATTAAACTATTCTAGCTTCCTGACTAATTAATACTAATTAATGAGCTAAACACTACGAGAATCAATAGGCACAGGATATAACCAGACAAGGCTTCCTTTTTTAAGACCTTTTTTTTTGCTAATAGAAATATAAAGCAAATGCATAACTTTTCCTTTAAAATCAATAGCAATTACTGGCAATTGAAGCTACTTATGGTTCTGTTTCAAAGTTACAGCTGCTGCAGTGCCCTCACAATCACTCACCCCTATGACTTTTTGTAGGTTGCAGCAGCAGTTCCTGCCTCTCTCCACCTCCCTCCTGCTCCCCACACCCTGAGGACCTTGGGCCTATTCCCCCCACACCTGGCATCTCTTGAAGATCTCTGAACCTCATGTTGGGAAGGTACACATTTCCAGGCCATGTGACTGCCTCCCAGAAGTGGCCATCATTTTCAGTGCACCCACAATTCCTTGCGGGCATTTCCAAATGTCAGTTGCTTCTGTGAAGCCGTGATGAGCATACCAAAATGGCCGCTTTTGCAAGGATGTTGCATTGGCCAAGGATGAATTGCTTTATTTTGCTACCTGCACACAAATCTGCACAGCACTGCAGAATTGCAGGTGTGCTGATAATGATGGCCACTTCCAGGAGGCAGCCATGTATCCCAGTGCCTTCTGTCCTGTACTCCTTCTCTAACATGAGGTCAAAAAATATTAAAGGGGTTAACGAGGGAATGCGTGGAGCCTAGTGAGATGGGAATCAAGCCTAAGACATGGGGCCCAGTGTGGGCAAGACCTGCAGGGACTGAAGGGGTGAAAATAACAATGGGACATTTTGGGAGAGGAAGAGACTGGGAAGTCTGGGATAGGTGGGCTTGTGCTAGGCCTCTAAGGACCTCTCCCACCTCTGAGACTGCCTGTGCTCCACTTAACAACCCTCATTTTCATTTAACGACTGTCTCAGGAAGAGCAGGGGTTGGGGATCATTAGACCATCTCACTTAATAGCCATCATCACTTGCAGCCATAATGGGCAGGCACCATTATGGACATACCTTGAGGACTACCAGAATTTCAGAATTCTGACTAGACATGTAATCACAGTAGTTCTAGAGTATCACAAATGTCCCAGATATAAACTGGAAAAAATACTAAAGTCTTCCATGTTTGCTTGAAAATATCGAGCTCAGGGCAGTTTATAAATGGAATAAAAACTTGGGAAGAAGGTTGTCTGTCTGTTAAGGTGAACTGGAAGATAATGCTTTTTGTGTTAGTATTACTGCTTGTGCTACCAGTTTATGCATTTCTGCTTGAATGCTCTCAAAGATTTAATGCAAGACTTGGCTGTTTTTGTCCTAATTTTTCCTATCACAAGACTATACGAAGTGCTTTATATTCATTTTGTATTTTGAACAGCTCAGTTCAGTAATCTTTAATCCCTGTGATAAGTCTATAAGATGGTACTAAAGCAATACTTCTTCCCCTGCTTTTTATGCCTGAGGACATGAAATAAACATGTCAATGAGAATGAGGCAAGGAGAACAATGAGAAACAGCATAAACTAACAAAATAATGAAGGACCATTGTCTATAATCTTCCAGTCCAATTACCCCTGATTAAGTTTAGCTGAGTTCAGTTGGATTTGCCTCAGGCTGAACATATAAAGATAGTATTCTTAAAAAATCTCCCGTTTCATTGCGGCACCCGGACTTTTTAAAGTCCAAGTAGTTCTCATTTAGTAAATGCCTCAGTTAGTAACCATTGGTGATAAAAAAGCAAAAGTGCATTTCATTCACCTTGCTGCCCAGCGCTCACCAGCCTTGGTGCCCTGCTTGGCCCTGCCACTCCTGGCTGACCACACCAGGCTTTCCACTCAAGGCTACTCATGCCATTCTCCAAATAGCTTCTGAGACCTTCCAAAGCATCTCAAGAACAACATATGCAATTTTGAGAATGATGGACATGGTCTTCCTGTGAGGTTTTAGAACGCTTCAAAAGTCTTCCAAAGCATTGTAAGAATGACACACACTATCCGGAGAATGGTGGGTGTGGCCTCATAAGATTTTAGAAGGCCTCAGATATCTTTGGAACATTGTGAAAATGGTGTGCACTATTTGGAGAACAGCGTGACCAGCTTTAGAAAGTATGTTTGGCCGGTCCAGAAACTGCCTGGCATCGAGTCAGTCTGGGTCTTGTGAGCAACAGGAAAAAAACAGCAAAGGTCAGTTGGGCTCATCAGGGCCTGAGAAATACATGGTAAACGGCCTTGGGAAAAAGGCCTAGTGTGGCCAGCAAATCACTGGAGGTAGCATAGCCAGCAGAGCCAGCATAGCAGAACCAGTAGACTTCTACTTTAGGCCCACCTTCGTTGAGAAATACCATAAAACAAGGCAGCCAAAAAGCAGAGATAGGTGGCAGGGTAAGTGGGTGGGAGAAGTGGGTGGGAGGATCCCTGTGGTTGTAATTGTGGATGGTTTGCCAAATGGCCACAGAATCATTACAATATCCATAATTTT